CTGCTCTCTCTGCTACCTTTCAAATGTTAAATGAGCAATGGTCCATCATGGAGAAACTTGCCTGTAGCATAAACCTGATCAAGCAGAGGGAGGGATAGGTAGTTAATTATTACAACTTTCCAGGTGAACAGAGAGAATCGGATAGAATATGACAAAGTAGTAACTCTAAGCCAAAAATTGGGAGGTTGGGGGAATTTTAACTTTGAGTCCTGGTTTGGCATTCTGTTAACATTACTGTAAGAAAGTCCTGCTTCTCTACCATCAAGTTGTAAAATAGAACCCAAACTGCACAACTTATAAAACTTAAAGCCTGGCCTGTGTGGTTCTCAGTGGTTGAGTGTCAACCTATGAACCAGGAGGTCGAGTTTTAATTCTCCGTCAGGGCACATTCTGGGTTGTGGGCTCAATTCCCAAGGGGGGGGGGTGGTGGGGGGCGTGCAGGAGGCAGCCAATCAGTGATTCTTTCTCATCATTGATGTTTCTCCCTCTCTGAAGTCAAAATATATTTTAAAACAACAACAAAGAACACGTAAAGTTACAAGTTTGGATACATCTTTGATATATTTATCTTAATTTGTGTATTTGTATATGCCTTTCTTCTAGGTGTATTTTTCTGAACAAAAGTTGCCTCAACATATGTTTTAAGGATGGCTCTCCCTATCATAGTAAAATGGGGTGGGCAGGAATATTCAGTGACCACACTTTCAGAAGATGATACTGTGCTGGATTTCAAACAGTTTCTCAAGACCCTTACAGGAGTGCTACCAGACCGACGGAAATCACTTGGACTTAAAGTTAAAGGCGTAATTCTCTCCTCAAGTCAGATTTTTTGCATTGATAGGAATCTTTATATTAGTTATTATCTATTCTCTTTAGTAAGTCCCCTTGGAAGATTTATTTGATAGGGCTATTCCTAAAATTTTTTTTCCTTTTTTTATTATTATTAAGGTATTACAAATGTGTCCTCAGCCCCCCCATTATTCCTAAAATTTTTATATGATATAAGAAAGAATATTAAATGTTACTTGAAAATACCACCAGGATTAAGATCAATGGACACAGACACCAGGGGGTGAGGGCATGAGTGGAGAGGATGGTGGGGAGAATGAGGGGATAAGGATACATATGTAATACCTTAATCAATAAAGAAAAAAAAATATATAAAAAGAATTACTTTTGATTCCTATGATAGTTGGTGTTTGCATATTAAATATTTGTCACAGAAGTCCCCGGTAAAACTAAGTTTTGACATTTGCCCTTTAGCATAACCTTTTCATTATAGCTTGGGCCTTGTACTCTCTCCAAATTATCTTTTCTGATTTGAAAGTAATGATGATTTAAAATGATGATTAGCAATTAAATGCATTGTTCATATCCAGTCTAAAAGGGATGTTCATGTTGTCTGTGTTTGTCATATCACTGAAAGTTGTGTTTTGAGTAGCATTAAATCTATAGTGATCTTAGGTGTGCAATTTTCAAGACTTTCTGGAAAAACAGTTATCTTCATTTTTTAACAATAAAACCACGAATTTATTTGGTTTAGTGAGTTGAATAAGGATGTTCCTTAAGACAGAGTTGGGGAAAAATCAAACCATGTATTAGTTGGTACTTCTTAGAGTATTAGAAATTCTGAATTCAGCAGTAATAGTTTGTTAATTTAAGGGAAAAAAATACTGCTGTGGGATCTGTACTGAACCTTTTATCATTAGGGTTTTGTATATTAGGATAGTGAAACCAGCACCTGAACTTTAGTGAGAAAATAATCATTTGCTTGTATTGTAGGCAAACCTGCAGAAAATGATGTTAAGCTTGGAGCTCTCAAACTGAAACCAAATACGAAAATCATGATGATGGGAACTCGTGAGGAGAGCTTGGTAAATGTTTACTTTTGTTACCATTTGTCCCTGTGAAGATAATATGATTTATATTACACTTCTGTATCACAGTTTAAATTGTAAAATTGTCAGTTTAGTAGTAAATGAAAAATAAAAGCTGCACAGTGAATGTGGTATTAACTCTGCAGAAAAATACTGTGGAACTTTTAGTATATGGATAGCTGTAAGTATCGTAGTGCAAATGGTCATATTTAACATGGCAGATCAGCCCAGTGAATGTCTATAACAAATTATAAAATGTGAAAAATTTCCCACAGTGTGTGCTTGAAAAGCTCTTGAACTCAATTTCTCATTTGTGTTTTATACTGTGCATGTATTTATGTGTCAAAGATAACATGGTAAAAGAAAACATTTTCATCTTAATAGGAAGATGTCTTAGGTCCACCTCCTGACAATGATGATGTTGTCAATGACTTTGATATTGAAGATGAAGTAGTCGAAGTAGAAAATAGGTAAGTGCTTTTCACTGCCAAAGAAAATTGGTTGTAATATAAGAAAAAAATGAATGTTTCATCTGATTCTATTTTTCCATTAGGGAAGAAAACCTACTGAAAATTTCTCGTAGAGTGAAAGAGTACAAAGTGGAAATTTTGAATCCACCCAGGGAAGGGAAAAAGCTTTTGGTACTAGACGTTGATTATACGTTATTTGGTAAGTTGGCTAAAATTGTGTTTCATCTTCTGTTATCCACAACGTTTTTTCCTTTTATTTATTTTTTCCTTGCAATATGAAATATTTGAAAGCTTCTCTTATTACAAAAGAAAATCATTCATTGTAGAAAACACATATAAGAATTAAAAATAAGTCATCTATAATCCTGAGACCCAAAGATGACCACTTTTATATTTTTATGTATCTTCAAGGAGTGTTTGTATGTATATTTTAATTACTTTTGCTTAATGATATATTGAATATTTTCTCATTTAATATTTATTGTGAATTAAATATATATATTTTTTGTTACATAGAATTCTAGTTTTTGGGTGCATCATAATGTGACCAAGTGATTCCCTACTGATTAACATTTAAATTTTTATGAGGATTTAAAAAAAAAGCATTTTTGATATTAACCCTGGTTTTTTGTTTAGTTATGTTCAGGGCCGATTCTTGAGTTTAAAATTTAAATTATGTTCAGGGTTGATTCTTTAAAATTAGAAAGATGTTCATTTCATTCTATAATATTGTCAAGAAATGACTAGTTAAATCCTGATATTAGAACGAATTTACTTAACCACTATCCTAAACTTTAAGTACATGATATAAGTTAATGTATACTTATTGTAAAATTTGATTATAAGTTAATTGGACCTATTGTTTGGTGAAATGTGAGTATATCTGGAAGGTGAATGACTCAAAGTAAGAATAAGTAGCCCTAGTTTGTTTTTCACATTCTAAAGTAACATCTACACTTAAGAGATTAGATGAAAAAAAAAATTCTGTACTTTATAAGCCTGAGTTCTGGCTGTTGCTCTTTTTCACAAATTGAATAGAATTGACAAATTAAAATTGGATCACAAAGATATTGAATTGTGTGCTTTGGAGGCATTTCTTTGTCAGCCAATGTATGTCAGTCTGAAGTAACTTGCGTTTGAGTGTTGATATTACACTAGAGACCCAGTGCATGAATCTGGGTCACTTGGCCTGGCCTGTGGGAATTGGGCTGAAACCGGCTCTCCGACATCCCCTGAGGGGTCCCAGATTGTGAGAGGGTGGTTCTCGGGTGATGCACCCCAGAATCAGGCTCCTGCTTCTCTGGTTCCGGGTGCCACCCAAGAACCACAGCTGCCAAATCACCGCAGCTTGGCAGCTCCTGTGTTGAGCATCTGCCCCGCATTGGTCAGTGCGTGTCATAGCTACCGGTCGGAGCGTCTGCCCCCTGGTGGTCATTATGCGTCATAGCTACCAGTCGGATGGTCACTTAGGCTTTTATATATATAGATTTCCTAAGTTTAATTGATATTATGTACTTATCCACATAATAAACTAATTATCATCTATGACTGATTTTCTTTTAGACCATAGGTCTTGTGCAGAGACTGGGGTAGAATTAATGCGGCCATATCTTCATGAATTCCTAACATCTGCATATGAGGATTATGACATTGTTATTTGGTGTAAGCTATATATATATATGTTTTGTTTGTTTGTTTGTCTTTGTTTAGCTTTCCATGGAAATAAGGTTGTTCCTTATATTCTGCTTTATAAAGTGTCACTTAAAATGACCTATGTTTAAATATGATACATTTTTCATTTGATTTAGCAAATTTTTAATAATCATGTTTAACTTTCTTGCATCACAAAGTTGCCAAGTACTACTGAAATAGTTAAATATAGGAAGAGAGTGGATTTTGGTGTTAGATACAAATGGCCTTATTTTCATAAGATTCCCCCGACCCCCTTGATTAGGAACTTTTCTTTCTGATCTTTAATGTAGAATCTTTGATGCTTCAGGATATTGTTGCTTTCTTTCTTCATCACTCTAGTTTCAAAATACTTGGAGAAATATATGTATTTTAAAAATCATAGTGATGTGGTTCTTCAGAAATAAAGAAAGGCAATGTGAACTTACTTAAGGAAAATGAATGAATGGACTAAAGCAGTATAACAAATTGTGGTCTATGGACCATTCCAGGAACTTACAGGTTTGTGATAAGATAAAGGTAATGAGTTTGCTTTAAAAAGTAAATTTAGTACATTAATGAGCACACTGTTTAGTTGAATTGACAATTTTTTTGTGGCAAGACACTCTTGATAAGGGAAGCAGTGTACTGATTTACATCTCACCTTCCCACAAACATGTAAAGTTGCCTCTGGCAATATCATAAGCACAGAGGACCTATCCTGATTGTGAATTAAATAAAATCTAATCAATTAAAGATACTACATTTAATTGTACTAGGTTTTTGATGAGAGGCCACATAATTGTATTTTAGTCTGTAAGTTTCCTTTGTACTTTTCCTTGTAATCTGCAACTCTCCATTGTTTAGTGGTAATACATGTTCACAGCCATTAAAATTAAATATTGAAATACATAATTTTCTGGTTTATAAGACAGAAGAAAGCTAAATAGAGTAGGGTTTGAATTCTGGCTCTGTCTTTACTATGTGATACTGGGTAGGTCAGTTCATCTATCTGAGCCTTAGTTTTCTCATCTGAGAAATGAAGGTAAATAAGCTTACATTACAGAGTAGTTGTAAAAATAAAAATATTGGTATATTACCTAATAATATGGCACTTAGTATATAAAGGTTACTTATTATTAGAAACCCTTTTCATTAGCTGTGAGTCTTTGTTTCTCATCTAAAAATTAGAAACCTGAAGTGTATACTGAATTAAAAAGTATTTTTTCTCTCTCATGATTGTTGTCATTGTAGATAAACCAGTCTCTAATAGTTTAGTTCAGCTGGCCAGTTGTGCATGGAAGGTGATTCTTTTGGTTGTGTGTGTGTGCTAAAGATACTTGTTTTGAGAATACCTCTCTGTACCTCTTTTGCCCTAAAACAATACACATACACATACTTAAATAATTGAACTTCTTTATCCCTTTATAAACATTTTGCTTGGTAATACCTATTTGGTTTAGTCCAGTATCTTGAGACCAGGAGGGTAGAGGAAAGGAAGGGCTTATTTTTTAATATCATTGATCTCAAAACTGGTTGGTGTTGGACAATAAGCAGATATTTAACATAGATTGGTTTATGAATGTAGTTGTCTCAGTCTGTTAAAAGTTGTTAGACTCAGTGAGCATTGAGTTTGGTGAGCCTGGTAAAATTCATTGAACCTGGCTAATCTTTGATGTTAACTTAAAAAAATATATATTTGTTATTGATTTCAGAGAGGAAAGGAAAGGGAGAGAGAGATAGAAACATCAATGATAAGAGAGAATCATTGATAGGCTGCCTGTTGCACTCCCCCCTCTGGGGATTGAGCCCACAACCCGGGCGTGAGCCCTGACTGGGAATTGAACCGTGACCTGGTTCATAGGTCAACACTCAACTACTGAGCCGCTGAGGCCAGGCTGATGTTAACTTTTGACACATAATATTAATCTGCTTATATTGATGTATATACTTGTGCATTGCCTGGGTAGAAAAAAATGGGCATCCAGACACCCTAAACTTAAGTTTGGAACTGATAGAGAATAGTATTGAGCTATTTTTAAAGAGAATTTAAGTCTTGACTTACACATTTCATAGGTTCACAGTTCTTTTGAGCGGTGGTTACCTGTGTCTTTTAGATCAGGGGTGGGTAACCTTTTTCTGCCAAGGGCCAGTTGGATATTTATAACATCATTCATGAGACAAACAAAATTATCAACTTAAAAATTAGCCTGCTATATTTGGGTTAAACATTTAATTAACTCACCCTAATGCCTTGGCAGGGCCAGACCAAATGATTTCGTAGGCCTTATATGGCCATGGGCTGGACATTCCCTACCCTTGTTATGTAAAAGTAGTTGTTTAAATTTTATTCTGTCTTAAAGACACACACTAAGTTTATTTTTATAAATACCTAAAGGGAAATTACCACAATATGTAATTGATTGAACTTTTAGTCTTGCTTAGAAAATTATTTATACAGAAGAAAGGTTTTTAAAAATGAAATTCATGCTTTTCATGTGTCTTGTATTATTCCTCATGTTTTAGCTGCAACAAATATGAAGTGGATTGAAGCTAAAATGAAAGTAAGTATCAAAAACCCATTTAAGAATGTCTTGAAACTATATTTGTCTTTTTTAAAGTTTCTAATTGAATTAATTTCATTCTCACTAGAGGACATTTAGTGGGTAAACAGTACAGGAGTTAGAAGTGTGTTTAGTCCGATGGTGGATTGTATTAAATACCTATGTCTTTTTTAAGAAAAAGTACAACAGAGCTCCCCTTTCTCTTTCCTCCCAATTTACTATAATGCTTTCTTTTCCTCTTTTTGTTCTTGTGTGTGATACTTAAAGGAGTGATGCTCTTTTAAAATAATGAATTGGGAAGTAATCTGTCTCTAGTTTCTTTCTTTTGGACTGCTATTTATTGACTTAGTTAAATGAAACTAAAATTCTTGCCAGTTGTTAAGCAAGATGTGGTGGTCAGGAGGGTAAAAAGTTGGCATTATGGGAAGTTGTAGCTGGAATATTCAGAAAACCTTGAATTTCCACATTATTATATTTTAACCACATGAGTATTGTGTATTTCTAGGAGCTGGGAGTGAGCACAAATGCAAATTATAAGATTACCTTTGTTTTGGACAGTGCCGCTATGATAACAGTGCATACGCCAAGGAGAGGATTAATAGATGTAAGAAATCATTTTACTTTTATTTAAAGACTTGCTTCTTTTCGAATGTACTTTTATATTTATATTGCTGGAATAAACTACCTAAAGAGTTTAGATACATCTGAGTGGATAGTAAAGTATCAGTTGAGTTTAGACTTAGGAAGATGAATTTAAGGTTAATAGTTTTGAATTTTATTTTTCATATTTGAATTTTAATGATAAAATTCAGGTTTTGATGCAGGAAAGGTCATGGATAATTGTCCCATGATGATGGCAGCATAGTGTTGGTAAAGACAGAGTGTGAGAAAAAACACTGACATCAAGGGAGGCACTAGAAACAAACCAAAACAGATTTGCCGTGCCCTATGTGAAACTGTTAAATTGGGGTAATGTCTGTGAAGCCCCAGAGAAGAGCAAGAAGAGCCATTAGAGAAAAGTCCATGTTTGGGAACCAAGTGGTGGGTTGACCTAACTACAAAATGACAACACTATTTAAGAGGATGTAGGATTCCTAACCCTGGTTGTCTTAAAGCTCTTGTCATATTTCTTAAGACTTTTTTAGCCAAGAAAACCAAAAATCTGGCTTATTGTGACAGCTCATGTATATTTGTCTTCAAATATTTGAGGGGTTTATACAAACAAATTGAGGCAAGTAAAGTTTTAGTAAACTTAAGGAAAAATATATGTATATATATTATTAATCCTCACCTGAGGATATTTTTCCATTGATTTTGAGAGAGAGAGAGAAACATTGATGTGAGAGAGACACATCAGTTCGTTGTCTCCCACACCATATTATCCCTGATAGGGCCAGGGATCAAAGCTGCAACCCAGGTATGTGTCCTTGACCAGGAATTGAATCGTGACCATTTGGTCTGTAGGCCAGCACTCTAACCACTGAGAAAAACTGGCCAGGGCAAAATTAAAATATTTTAATAATATTCTTTGCTGTAGCTAGGGCACAAAGAAGAAAATGGGCTTCTTACATTAAATGATAGAAGGAGAAAAAGAAAACAACTTTTTTTTTAAATTCTCACCTGAGGATATGTTTATTGATTTGAGAGAGAGTGAGAAAGAAACATTGATGTGAGAGAAACATTGATCTGTTGCCTCTAGTATATGCTCAACCAGGGATCAAACCTGCAACCTAGTTATGTGCTCTGATCTGGAATTGAATCCATAACCTTTTGGTGTCAGGACAACGCTCCAACCAACTAAGCCACTGGCCAGGGCAAAACTTAACATTTTAAAATTTCAACCATCATCATCATTTACTTACTGCTGTTTAATGTCAGAATTACTGTTATGATATAATCTCATCTACACCTACACTAATAAAAGAGAAACAGTGTAATTGGCGTACGCCCGCGCCCCTTCCCATTGGCTAATTGGCGTACGACCGCTACCCTTCCCACTGGCTAATTGGCGTACGACCGCCACCCTTCCTATTGGCTAATCAGCAAGATATGCAAATTAACTGACAGCCAAGATGGCGGCGGCAGCCAGGCAGCTTGAAACTAATATGAAGCTTGCTTGCCTCAGTGACGGAGGAAACCATCGTTCCCGGCCTGTGCTGCAGGCCTCCGAGCCTGCAGTTTAAGAAACTATGTAACAAATACGGCCGGACTTCAGCCAGCAGGATTGCAACATTGTAAGCAAAGGCCAGAAACCTACTTTCAGCAGTGGAGGCCTAAGAGCTGGAGCCAAGCCTCAAGCTAA